ACCAATTATTTGGTTGATTGTGACCAATAATTGGTTAATTTTTAACAAATTAATAATTTGTGATCTAAAAATTGTGATTGTAACTCACATTTTATTAAGTTATAATCGAATTGTAACCAATAAAAATAAGACCTCTAATTTGATGTTTTGTGACCATAAAATAAGTTGTGTGACTTATAAATTTTGTGATTGGTGATCGATAAATAAATTGTAACTTTTCAATTTTTAATTTGTGACCGATGAATGAACTGTGACGTATAAAAATTTTGAATTGTTGAGTTTAAATTTTTTTTAATTGCGACCAAATTGAATAGATCTGTGACCTTTATATATTTATTAATTAAATATACAATTAATTAATTAAATTATAAATAANTGTGATCAAATTGCATAGATTTGTGACATTTATATATTTATTAATAAAATATATAATTAATTAATTAAATTATAAATAAATTTTAATGAAAACCTGATTTTTGAAATTTAAAACCTCTATCCTTAATTTTGAAATGGTGATACTTAAAATACCTTATTTATGTATTGTTCCCTTTTATTTATTAGAGTTCTTGCCCAATTGTTTTCTCTGGATGCTGAAATTATGTCATAGATTTATGTGTATATAGGATGATATGAGTTATCTAATAATAATATGCGCTAAAGTGTTCTCTAAAATCCACAGGGTTTTTTTTTTAATATATTTTTTCTATTAATACTATTCGTGTTAAACCTTGTTACATATGGTACCATCCAATGTTGGCTGATTAGAGTTCATATATTTCAACTCTCTACATTTCATTCTCCCTGAAGAAACAATCTTCATTTTGTCATTATATCCTTGTTTTCTGTTCATATTTTTTGAAGGTAATCATGGGATTGTTCCATTAGTTCAAGCTATTTGGATACATTGTCAAAGAACTCACTGGCGCTATGGTTTAATTTGCTCTTATTGACGTTTATGGAAAAAAATTAACAATATTTATTTTCAAACTAATATAACTTGGATTAACTATAATATACACTCTTATGATTAAAGTTTTACTAAGTGTGATAAGTGTGTAAAAACACACTTATTTGGCACTCTATTGGATTTAAATATAAATGAAATTGAGTATATTTCTATGCATAATTGTGTAATTTTCACTTTTG